ATGTAACTGTAATAGTTAATTGGAAAAAGGAACTTTTTGGTGGAAGTATTTTCAGCGTGGGGAACTTTTTCAAATCAATGGTATTTCCTAAACGGTTTTGTATAAAAAAAGTATGATCTTTTTGCATACTGTTTACTCGTGATGAGGACCAAAGTCAACCTTTAATACAAAGCAACTAAATTTCCACAAATTTTGCGCTTCTTAGTAGCAATTACTGAATCAGTGAATCTTATGACTAAGGTGATCGCTTGTCTAAATTACAGTGCTCTCTTTCGGTGAACTAAGCTATTGACGCTCATGCCCAATATTGTGAGGTGTCCATGATTAAGAAAATGTTCTACCTTGACTTGAAAATGTACACTTTCTGTTCCACTCAGTCCTTTACCAACTTGTAATTCATTGAACCATTTTTTTCAGTCACATTGATGGTATCAACAGCTACTTTTAGGTGCCATGAGGATAGCACTACCGGAGCGTCAGGATGCGGCTTCGGTCCGCCATCATTGCCGTTTTTCTATAAAGGACCAGAGTTATTATACTATAGGAATAAGCTATGTGTTACTATTTCAAGGTCATTTCCGCTTTTCAAAGTCATCTTTAAATTGCGCAAATCATGTTAAGCTGAAACCAAGATTTTAGAGGTGCTGGAAAGCCGCATAAGCACTGTATCTGCAATACAAACATGTGCAATGGTTTTGTGAAGCCAATTGGACGATATCAAAATTCTATGGCTAGAGATACAGCATTGCGATCGAGATCATTAGCGTTAAGGTAAAAGTAATGAAGCATTCCAGAACATAATAATGGGTAGAAGTTTAGAACAAGAACATAGTCTTTGTATGAAAGCAAGTTTGTTGCAAATTTAGTCTCTGGAAAACATATCGTATAAATTTGAAGAGGAACTCTTCATCAAATCTACTTCATCAACAAAATTACTTGTTCAGTGAAAAACTGTTATCTACCGATTTAAACAATTATTTTCAACTGCTTCACATCCACTTTTTTTTTCAGTGCTGCCGACCCTACACTACCTTTGCGAACATGTGTAAATTGTGAAATAAATTCACACGATGGCACATCTGTCACATCGTCATGCAAGCAAAACAAATGCTATGGTACGTATACGACGCATCTATTCTAAAAATTATTTAAAGTAATCTAGAAAGACATAGAAAAATTCAAACGCCATAAATTCGTTGAGTAAAGGATAAAGTTACTTTTTGAAAGAGGTTTGGAGAGTAATGTAAAGGAGTGGCTTTGGAGTCCAAATTATGACTTATTTTTATTTAAATCAATATAAACAAGAGCCTATAGGATGTTATCTAACTACTACCTCATTTCTCGGAACTTCTTAGTATCTACCTATGCACACTACCAATTATCGTTGTTACCTTTTTACGAATAAACCACAACTAACAAAGAGAATTTTTTGTTATTTTAAGTAGTCACTCTTTTAAAATTTCTCATCAAACAAAATAAGTACTATCTAATATCTTTTATCTTCCTCATAAGTTGAAGGTCAAATAAAGTGGACTCCTGTTTACAACTTTTCTCTAACTCATAAAAAATGTCCTGAGCTATTCATTCATTTCACTTAACTCACAGTTCTCAGGTCACTTCTGCACCTATGCCTCACAGCGACATTTGAGCCATGGCATGGGACGGTCAGGAACTGTACAAATTGTTAGCGAAAAGCAAGGATGTATTAATGTGACCGACAGTTCACAGGTGATATAATAACTTTCTTTCATTATCTCTGAAAGCGACACAAAATTTACACGCTAAGATCATGCAGACTAAAGAAAAGTCAAAGCCAAAATGTAATTTATATTGTATGTTAAAACAAAATTTAATTGTGCTAGCAAACTAGCTGAGACAGCTTAAAGCGCTTTTTCAATCAAATCTTCAGCTCATTCATTGGGTACCTAGCAAGTTGTTCACGAACAATTTTTCATTAATTTAGCACAAAAGTACTGCTGAT